CAAACACAAAAAGCAACAGTACAAACAAATGCGTCAGTAATTACACCAAAGCACCATCTTATCCTTTCGTCGATGGAAAACCCTGCCCCCTACACTCGAAACAATCGCGTGACCAATGCACGCCGATCGCCGTGATGATACCGCAATATCCACCTGGGAAGAGACGCTCCCAGATCTTTTTCCGTGAACAACACGTGGCAAGAGTACTAATGAAGATGTACCCTTGTGCCGAAGTGCCTGACAACAATCAGCGTAAGGTCAGCACAACCAGCGTCAAACAAGCTCAGTGCGCCAGGTGTCAATGCCTCTGATCCGTCGATGACGCAGCACCAGTGGCAGGTTCAATGACACAGACCTCACACGCCGAAGTAACCCCTCGAGCAGTGGAAAGTTGACGCCACACGTTGGCCGATAGGTGACATGGCTGAAAAATCACGTCCAGATATGGCTGCACACAGCCACGAGTACGAGACCCAACGCAGTACACAAGAACTGCGTGCCGTCTGACAATGCTCTGTGACGCAACCACGCAGCAGGATGGCTACGTCCCCACCTGCCGATTCACAACGCCACGAAACAGAGGAAGGTTACCATAGATAAACGATCCTCCCATTCCTGGAGACGCCGAGCTGTACAACCCCAACCATTATATCGGAGTCGCAGATCCCGTCAAGTCATCACGCCGACCTAGAAGATTGTCATATGCTCGTGGACGATAACAACGTAGTACCGTGCATAAGCACTATATGTCATGCCAGAGAGAACACCCGCAGTATCCACTATGTGTTGTTACCGCCATAAGCATCGCGACGTACAAAAACGTCTGATGCCTCCCGTACGTACCGCTCCAACCCACACGCAATCGTATCGACGATTAATCTGATGGATACTCTCCCTTGGCGCCCTAACATCCCAACGTCACTACTAGCATGCCCCGCAACCACCACAACAAGACTCCAATAGCGATGAAGACTTCCCTACGCCGATAGAAGCCGATGATAAGGTAGGCAATCAAGTAATCAACTCTGCTGCTCCTCACCCCCCAATGCGCCCAAACCGAGAGAAAGGGAGAGATTATAGGTCCCAGACGCGCAGCAAGAAGTGTAGCAAAGATTGAGAATCTAGCCGTAGGGAAAGCAGAAATGCATAAAAACGAAAAACAAAAGACAAAAACAAAAAACAATAGAAGAAAGAAAGAAAGCCAATGCACATCGGACAAACCGATGGCGCTGCTGGATCGCAACCCAAGCTGTACTGCAAGGTCGATCATGCAGCTCAATCGCATAGATAAAAACCAGGTGTCGTGGACTTTACATATCACAGCAAAAACACCCGATGACGCCGACGTAACAAAACACCACATCAGCGCTCCGCCCTTCTTGTC